CCAGCAGCCAACAAATGGCACTTAGGGAGCCGGCCAGTGCGGGCGGGTGGAATCCAAGCAGCCGGTGCTTCCTGGCCAAGAGACTGTGGCTGCAGGAAGCAGAGGAGGCCGAGTGAGGTTGAAGAAGAGTGGGGGGTGGGAAAGCGTATATCACAAATTACCGGTTGTTTTGTCTCCCGCTAGAAGCTCCGAGAAGCTGCTTTCTCATACTCCCTATTTGCTGGTCTCCAATAGGAGTCCAAAATGGCAGATCCGCACTGTGTTAGCTTATAGGGGACCTCTGCATGAATCTCTCCTCGCTCTCCGTTCTCTTGTCAGTTTTCTCCATTTGGTGCTTGGCTGAGTCCTTTATCTCTTCGTTTGATGTTTTAGGGTTTCAGAATTGCTTGTTTTCTCTGTTTGGCTTAGTTTTTTGGATCTTTGCTGTGGAGGGACGGAGTGGTGCTTCTGCCTAGAGTGCCATTTTGTCGGAAGTCCTCTGTTACCTTTGCTTTTACCAGCTCTATTTCCCTATGGGACAGGTTTCTAGCATACAAAAAACTGTAAACATCTGTATTGTGATGGCGATTTTCACACCCTCTCTGCTGTGTTGATGGTTGCTTAGGGTTCTGGTGAGTCCACTAGAGCTGTGATGTCCACTAGCCAGATGCTGCTATTTTAATTAAAATTAATTAAAACTAAAAAGGTTCAGTTCCTTAGTTACAGTAGTCGTATGTTCAGTGCTAAATAGGCACATGGGGCTAGTGGCTACCATATTGGACCATTCAGAAACAGGACATGTTTATCTTCACAGAAAGTTCTATTGGATAAGGTTGCTGAAGAGTGTATACAACAGATGATAATCCGTGTGTATTCTCAATGATTATTGTCATAGGCCAGAAGGAACAAGAAAACAAAATACATAGCGTCTGCCCATAGATTTACAGTCTAGCATGGGAGACAGTTTTAAATAAATAATGAAAACCAGGGACATCTGATACCTGTGATAAAAGGACCTAACTCAAGAGTCAGGTTAGAGTGCTTGAAAAAGAAAATTACTTTAGTGAAGATTCAGAAAACTAGTTTTATTTAGCTACGTGCATGGTTATGTAGGGCTGGTAGCATGTGGTATGGGTAGGGGTGGAAAGAGTATTTCCGTTGGGAAAAATGAGTGTGAATTCCTGAGGCAGCAGAGAACCCAGTATCATCCATTCCTTGATGAAAATCAGAGATGATTGAAGCAGAGAAAACAAATTGTGGGTTGGGGGTGGGGGCTGTGTGAGCCAGATTGGAGGAGGCAGTGGCAGCAGGTCATTTAGAACCATGCTGACTACTCTGGGCTTTTAGAAGACCAGTGGACAGCCACTGACAGGCAGTAAGCAGGGTAGAAAGAAATGGGAACAAAGGAGGGAAATGGAGAAAACTTAATGACTTTCTGGTTTGTTGATTGATTTATTATAAGATTGAAAGACAAAGTGTTCAGGAATCCTCCCAGATTTCTCAATAGCTTAGGGACTAGAAATGTCACGGTTTGAAAATGAAGGGGGAAAAAAACCACAAAAACTCAAGGGGAAGAAGGAAATGTTAATTGCAACAGCAACAGGAAAAATATCCATCACGTGTTACAATGCTATACATAAAATGAAATTTTTTTTTAAAAAGGTAAAACAGAAGTGTTTTAACTGCACATAATTAAAAATGAATGAACCACGATGAATTCATTGACAAAACTTGAAAAATGCATTCTTCCTGAAATTTCACCCATAGTAATATCCAATAGCAGTGCGTGTGTTAATCTATAAGGGACAAAGTTACATAGGTGAAACCACAACTTCAACATTGGACCCCTGACTCCCTGGAGGAAATCAGGTTCAAGTTTTCCATCCTGGCCCGGCTTATGCTCTGGGATGAATAAATTCCTCCCGTATGGATCTTGTTGCCAGAAAGAAGAGCCCATGGAGCTGCATGAAGAATGCAGGTGTGTGCTCTGGAGGCTGGAGCCTGTTCTGGCTTCAGTGCATATGCCCCTCAGTGTGGAGCATTGCCCTGAGTCTGGGAGGAAGACAAAAACCTGTCACTCCCTGCTAACTCAACACTGTTTCCTCCCCATCCTTCTTCTACTTCAGGTCTCAAGTGTGGTGCAGGGAGAACTAGTCCAGGCAAGTGTGAACTTAGGGCGACCATCTTGCACATCCGTAAATCACGAGTAAGGATTTCAACTGCCCTGACTGGTGTGTGGACCAAACATTATTCGTCTGCTTCCAAACTGCCCACTACTCTGCTTCCAGTCTCATCTTTACTGAAATGGCTTCTTCAGCTTAGAGACAACATTCTTTTAGACTTCTAGAAGCTGGAGCATGGAAATGGTGAGTACCACAGAGAACTGGGTTTTTCTTACCGTAAGTTGGGGAGACTTGATATGGATTGTTGGGGGATCTGCTCGTGCTGTGGGACTGTGGTTCCTCAATGAAGAAAAAAGGTGGCAGAAGAGGCTAAGGGACTGAGCCCTAGGAGGCATCCTAAGGCCCTGCTCCATTGTCACTGGACCCTTTCTCTATACATATATGGCTTCAAGATTTGGATGCGTGGGATCACCTTCCTTATATGACTCTCAGAGCTGGTACCGTGCGGCATTAGCATCCCCACCCTGGGTCTTGGTGCTCTGTGTTGAATGACAGAGTCTCCTGACGAGAACCTGAAGATAAGCAGCTCTGGCTGGGGAGGCTGAGACCTAGCTCTCCAGAGACATCCTTGACCCATCTCTCTCAACAGTTTTCTTGACTTCCCCCAGCCACTGGAGCATGTTCTATGCAGTTCTGTAACTACAAGTCCATCTCTTTCACTGTGTTATGGGTTAGAAAAGGGGGGAGTTTGTGGGTGGAAGGCCCTGTTTATAGGGTCTTGGGTGGTGGCGATGCTCACCTGATGTCTCCAAAGATAGGAAGCTAGGGACAATGAGTCCAGCTGGATCCTGTGTGGGGCCTCCAGACCCATTTTTCTTTTTTTCCCCAGGAGGGAATACTTTTGCCTTGAGCTTGCAGGTATATGGAAAGCATGAATCCCCAAAGTAGTCCATGTCCTCCCACCTATACCTAGAGCTGGTGTTTAATGTCTATAATTTTTGACTGCTGTCCGTAGTCTTGAATTAGAATTTAAAATTAAAGTGTTCTCTTTTGCTAGAGAAGCTCAACATATGAGATGTGTGTATTTAAGTTCTTGGGTTTACAGTTTCCACGGGAAGAAAATTTCTAGATCATTTGGTGTGTTTCTACTGAGAATCTTGCAATTGATGGATATAAACTTCCCGAACACAGAGGAATGCCTTTTTTAACTGATGTAAAAGTTACTCTAAAGCCCACTTAAATCTCGAGATGGTTCTTAAAGACTCCTATTACACTTAACACGTCATGCCAGAACCCCTAATGTGTTATATATTTTAGCCATTTTAGAAACCTTCTCCTGGCTGAGATAAAATAGATGTACAGACTGTGATAACCCTGGTTACTGTGTTTAGAAATAGAGTTCTAACTTATACTTTTGTGATTTGCACTAGTGTATTAGACCATTTACTAACAGTTGGATCCTAAATGATTAAATTTTAAATGATTTTATTATTATGAACGTGAATTCCAAGGAAAAACACTTAATATGTCATTTGACTTATGTTTAAAAGTACAATATCATTTACTGAAATTATGTTTTTCCAGTAGATAATACCTTCAACGTTCGACACTTACATGAACTTTAAGAGTATACTTTATGAATACTTGTTCCTATTCTTGTCCTCATCCAGCCCATCCCTCTTCCCCCAGCTTCATTTAAATAACCGGCTTTATTACTGTCTGAAGCATCTTAACCAGTGTTTATGTATGAGGAAGCAATTAGAATTTTTATTTCCCTTAGTTTGTTACACAAAAGGTAGCATGGAATTTACACTTACTTTTTAATGAACGAGTTATCCTGGTGATCTTTTCATAACGATATGTAAAAAAAAAAAAAAAAAAAAAATCCTTTGCCATCAAGTTGATTCCGACTCATAATGACCCTGTAGGACAGAGTGGAACTCCCCCATAGGATTTCCGGGGAGTGCCTGGGAGAGTCAAACTGCTGACCTTTTGGTTAGCAGCCGAACTCTTAACCACTATGCCACCAGGGTTTCCTAACAATGCATAGAGAGCTTAAATCTAAATTCTTATAAAACTCCAGAATACTGTATATGATTGATCTTAGTTTTGTTGTTGTTTTTAACTGTATCGCCATGAGTGGACACTTGGATTGTGGCCATTATTTTGCTTTTACAACGCTTATTGTAGTGAATATAAATGTAAATTTCTAAGATCTGGGTATCAATATGTATAAAAGCCCTTCTGAACTAACATAAGTAAAATCAGAATGGGGGTTTTCCTATGACTTTGTAAAACTAATATACGAAAATTACTTTTCGTGTTTTAAATAATGCTTTGAACTTTCTATTGTCAACAGTATCATAAACAAGGAGTGCATAAACTTCTCCTGGATAATTTAAATAGTAATCTGAGTCGCTGATAATAAATAAACCTTGGTCAGTTTTTATGGCCTCCCAGTGTATCCCCATCCTGATCTCGTCTCCTGCCTGGAGATTGTTACTATCCGTGTTTAGAAGTTTATGACTGTTACCAATATTATTGCTGTTATTATAAGTTTATCACCCAAGTCTTAATCCATAATCTCTATATTTAGTTTTGTCTCTTCTGAGCTTTCTGTAAATTCGGTTACTCTGGGTTCTTCATGACTTGTTTCCTCAGGATGCTTTTGAGTTTCATACATGTTGGTGTCTGTAGCTCTAGTCTGCCCATGTGCCTATGTATGTATGTTCCCATTGTATGAATGCGCCACAATCTACCCTTGGTAGAGCTTACAGGATTTGGGTGGGTCAAGTGTAATTTTTGCTCTTGTGAGTCTTGCTGCTCTTCTTTTATTCATTCTCCTTTCAGGCTCCATGTGCTCCTGCACAATAACTCTGCAGTGAGGGAAGATGGCTGAGTTGTAGACCATAGCCATGTTCACATTTGCTAGGAAATACTGATGCATTTTACAACTTTTTCTTTCCACAAAGTATGCATATGTATTTTATTTGTTTCATCTGCTTATCTAATTAATTTTTGCTCTTGTAAAGAGTGTGAAATGGTAGCTATGATTTATTCTCTAATTATCTTACAGTACTCCACTGTTGACAAGGCTGTGCATATTTGCCTACTGTTAATTTATATTTCTGTGACTTTTTAGATCTTTACAAACCTTGGGAATTTTTCTCCGAGTATGTAACTTACCTTTTCACGCATTCTCTGCCCTTTGATGAATAGTTGTAAATTGGAGTATAGTTGAATTTATTTATATCTTACTCTTCAGCACTTTTCCCTTTATTCTGCTGTCATAAGATCATTTACTTATAATTTCTGAAAGTATTATTTTACTTTTTCGTATTTAAAACTAATTTACCCAGAATTGATTTTTTACATATGGAATACATGGGGATACCTTAATTATTCTATTTAGATTATTAGTTGATTTTTTAGCAAAAGCTAGTTGCCACAGAGTCGATTCTGAGTCATGGTTATCCTATGTGTTTCACAGTGGAACTACACTCTCTAGGGTTTTCAGTGGCTGATTTTTTGGGAAGTAGATCGCCAGACCTCTCTTCAGAGGTGCCTGTGGGAGGACTGAGACCACCAACATTTCAGTTAGTAGCAGAGCACTTAACCCTTTGCGCCACTCAGGGACTCCATTTAGTTGACACTACCCCACATATTGAAGTATACGTGCTTTCTGTTGCTGCCCGGCATTGCATGCTGTGTCATGAATCAACTTTATATAGATTTATTGGCCTTTTCCAGGGCTGTTTTTTTTTTTTTAATTTGTCTAGTTGTGTATTCTTATACTGATACCACACTGTCTAATATATCATAGCTTTATTTATAAAGCAAATATTGCTGTTGTTAGATACCATTGAGTCGGTTTCGACTCATAGTGACCCTATGTACAACAGAACAAAACACTACCTGATCCTGTGCCATTCTCACAATTGTAGCTATGCTTGACCCATTGTTGCAGCCACTGTGTCAATTCATCTCGTTGAGGGTCTTCCTCTTTTTAGTTGACCTTCTACTAAGCATGATGTCCTTATCAGGGACTGATCCCTCCTGATAACATGTCCAAAGTATGTGAGACGTAGTTTCGCCATCCTTGCTTTTAAGGAGCATTCTGATGGTACTTCTTCAAGACAGATTTGTTCATTCTTTTGGCAGTCCATGGTATCTTCAGTATTCTTTGCCAACACCACAATTCAGAGGCGTCAATTCTTCAGTCTTATTGTCCGGCATTCACATGCATATGAGGCGATTGAAAACACTATGGCTTGGGTCAGGTGCACCTTGGTCTTCAAGGTGACATGTTTGGTGTTCAACACTTAAGAGGCCTTTTGCAGCAGATTTACCTAATGCAGTGCATCTTTTGATTTCTTAACTGCTGCTTCCATGGGTGTAGATTGTGGATCTAAGTAAAATGAAATCCTTGACAACTTCAGTCTTTTCTCCGTTTATCATGATATTGCTTATTGGTCCGGTTGTGAGGATTTTTGTTTTATGTTGAGATGTAATCCATACTGAAGGCTGTGGTCTTTGATTTTCATCAGTAAGTGCTTCAAGTCCTCTTCACTTTCAGCAAGTAAGGTTGTGTCATCTGCATAACACAGGTTGTTAATGAGTCTTCCTCCAATCCTGATGCCCAAAGCAAATATATAAAAGTATAATTATATATATGGTGTCTTAGTCATCTAGTGCTGCTATAACAAATACAAGTGGATGGCTTTAACAAAGAGAAATTTATTTCTTCACAGTAAAGTAGGCTAAAAGTCCAAATTCAAGGCGTCAGCTCCAGAGGAAAGCTTTCTCTCTCTGTCGGCTTCTCATCAATCTTTCTCTAGACTAGGACCTTCTCCACGGAGGGACCCCGGGTCCAAAGGACGTGCTCTGCTCCTGGTACTGCTTTCCTGGTGGTATGAGGTCCCCGATTCTCTGCTTGCTTCCCTTTTATCTCTTGTAACATCAAAGGTAGTGCAGCCCACACCCCAGGGAAGCTCCCTTTACATTGGATCAGGGAAGTGACCTTAGTAAGGATGTTATACAATCCCACCCTGATCCTCTTTAACA